TATTTTCAATTAGTACACAATACTATTAAAGAAGCTAAGTTCAATTTTCACTATAATGATTTCTGTATACACACTATGTATAAAAAAAGACTTAAATCTTTGTTGAAAACTTTATAATTACATTACTCAAAAGAATAAATTAGACATCTTGTAATTGTATTATAGTTGAAATAATATTTCAAAGTAAAACTAGTAAACTGTAGCTTTGTTGTTTTTGAGATGGGAAATTGTGTGTTTTCTGAAGACGCGGATGATGAGAATCAATAAACTGACTTTGGTATTTAGCAGACGCCTTCGACAAAGTGGTCCAAAAACACGCGATCCCCTTAATAATGTGAAGTGTGCCTTTGCGATGGGGTTGATGATGGAGGTATTTTTAGAATTGACTCCTGTGTGAAATTTGGAAGTCATAGAAGCGGACGAAATTGCAGGTGGATGGATTTATGTTGTTCGCGTGTGGAGGAGCGTGTGTATATGTTCTTTTTTTTTGGGGACGATCGGGTAGTTGTGATAGATACGTGTCGGAGGGGCGGCGAGAATCGATGAAAGGGGGGACGAACTGGGGCATCCCATAATACCTGTGCGGTACAATAGGAACGAAATGGAGGGGAGAAGGGAAATAAAAACGAAGCAGTATATTAGAATCGATCACCTAGGAAAAATCACCTGGTTTTGGCGCACCTGTACAGCAGGCTGCAGTGCTCGCTCGTAAAATTTATATTTGCGTATCATTTAGTTGGGCACAGAAACATGTGCGTTCAAGAATAAATTCTAATTATAAAACGGAACTAAAAGAGCTGCAGAGTAAGTGAGAGAGAGAGAGAGGGAGTTAAAAGAGGGATAGTCCTCTTCCACCTTTCCAGAGGAATAATAATAATGGCTGTAGGCGGAGAGAAGGTGTTAGCCCCTCGGTCGGTCTACTCTTCCACAGAACTGAGAGTTATGAAAATTTTTGCTCAGCTCCGATGCGTAAATATTTAACGTTTTCTATTTGTAGTTGTGGCATCGCCTCTCTCTCTCTCTCTCTCTGTGTATGCGTAATGTTGGGGAAGCTATTTATAACCATTGTTTATAAGTTTAGCTGCGTATGCAATTTTTTCCAACCCGCCCCCGCTTCTTCATCTCTTGTTGTTATTATTTGGTTTTTGGAAAACGGGAGCACACGCTCCGAATATACAGGAAAAAAGAGAGGAGGCTGTGTTTGGTTGATGTGTATGTATGTATATGAGCATGGCATCTCCGACATAAATATGCGGAGTAAACGATACATCCGGTATTTTATACGTCGAAGTGCAGCAGCAACGGGCGTCCACGCCGTTTATTTGAACATTTCGAATATTGAACTCATCCTCCTCCGGTGCCATCTGCCACGATCTTCAATTTGTGACATTAGACCGTCACGTGCCACGGATTTTATTATAAATATGTAACGGAGATGGCTGCACCCGCAACCGCAGCTTCTCTTCCTCTCCCGCCTACAACATCGCCGACGCGCCGTCTTCTTTCGCTTTCGTCCTTTCCTTTTTTTTTTGGGCCACTTTAAATTTAGAATTCCAGTTTCCAATTCGACTGCGAAAATCCTTAGAAACGCACGGAGAGTTCTTCGCAACGCTCCTCCACCACCCACAACCAATTCTCACCCAACAACCATCTCCAAGGTACACACCTAAATCATACCAAAACAACAACAACAACAAAAAATCATTAAACTCTTGTGACAGTCGAAGCTAAGTGAAATCTCAGAACATTGTGGAATTCTTATAGAGATTCAACTTGGTGACTATTGGTGAATGTTTCTCATTATGCGAAGCTTGCAAAGCACTGTTACAAATACTAAATAAGTATTACATAATTTATAAACATAAACATAATCTTCAAAATACATGTCAATTCTGAAATTACATTTGCAAGTGACATTAACACCACATTGACAGCCAACGTCAAATTGACGTTTATCAGAATTTATGAACTTTACTGAAAATGACAAATAGTGTTATAAAATATAACATAATAATAGTTGCCAACTCCATACTCATAACATTATCAAACTAATTGTCTAATGGTTTTCTAATTTGATCCAATAGTTTTAGCAACACACTTTTTTTGATGTGTGATATAAAATCTATTTAATCAACGAAATTAGGGCTGAAAACAAGAAGTTTGGAGACTGAAGTAACTGTTGTGAATGTGATTGTTTTCTTTTTAAATAATGAAGTTATTTAAAGAAAGGAATTGTTATAAGAAGCTGAAAAAATAACAAATCCACAAAGAGAAACACATTTTAACGTGTTTATGTTTACGTTCGGAGGGTGCTAATTCGACCAGATCGAACGACGGAGCGACGTTGCAAAAAAAAAATACTGTAAACGATTCTTACGTAAAAAATAACAACCCTCGATTTTTATTTTTGGAGATTCTCTCTCTCTCCAATTTTTTTTTTGCTGTGTTAAGTAACTGATATTTCGCATGGGTGACTCCGGCTCCTCGTTAAAACCGATTGTGCGCCTCGGATTTCAGACGCGCTTCAGATGAGGGTGAAAAACAGACACCCCCGCACGTGTTCTTTCTGACGACTGCTTTCTTTCGTGATGGGATTATCTGCCCACAAGTGGTTTCGCTCTTTCGTGATTCAACCTAATCCAACGAAAGAACGGAATCCGTTCCTTCTGCCTTCCAACAATATACAGCATGAGTTTATGCATGCGTCTTTATTTGTCTTAAATCACTGCCGCTCTCGCATCGTGTACACAACCAAGACGTTCACTTAAACCATACAATTATTATTAGATAACATTCTCACAAATTTACTTTATTTTCTATCTATTTGTAAATAACATATTTCTTCTATACAATATTTGCTGAATTTCTATTTACACATAATAAATATTCTATTTATAAGAAATGCCCATTTCAATTATATAATTGACGGGTCTTCCTCTTACTAGTCAAATGCAGTAGGAAAAAATAAAATTATATAACATAAATAAATCACCTAAAACGAAAGCTATAAAGGAAATCGTGTGGATTTTCGGGGACGCGTCGGATTATTTTCGGTCAGTTCAATTTAAAATATTTGGATTGCGCGCGTATTTTTAGAACATAGAAAATTTCGTTCCGTTGCGTCGAAAATGAAAAGAGTCATTAGGAGTCATTGGCATACGAGCTGAAACGTGCTTGCCAATACTACACATGAAACATGTTTTCAATTATTGCTTATTACTAGCTTATTACGTACGCTTTGCAAACTAATTAAAGACAAACTTGAAACGGAGATAATTATAGTTTAATGGTTATTGATCGATTATTAACTAAACATTTTATTATGTCATAAATAAATAGAACTTCCCTTATGAAAGAGTTTAAACAAAAATTGTTTTAGTTATTTACAGACTAAAGGTTAATTTAGAGTGGGATTAGATAAACAACGTTGTTTTGATGTTTCGTACTAATGTAAATTCCAATATTATTTGTCCAATTCGCAAACAAAGTAAAGGGATGAGTATTAACGAAATGTTATTAAAACTACATTAACTTGTATTGCATCAGGTAAAAAAAGCAAACACAGTAATTGTCTTGTACGAAGGTCGATCATCAATCCCATTTCCGAGCTCTACTTTTTTTTTGTATTCTTCGTTGTGACAAATGAATTCCGCCCTAATGTTTTCCCTGCAGCGCTCACTTCCTCCACTCGCTCATCCATTGTCGTTTCTCTTCTCTTCTTGTTTTTTTACAACGCTCTCTCTTTTATTTATAAATAAATTAAAAAGGAGAAATAAAAAGCATCCATCTTATTCACACCGTCCCGATGACGGATACAGCTACTCTCATTACAATTAAGCGAAATATTTTTAGAAGCGCAATTAGGGTGGAAACAAAACCTCTCGTTACCATCTCAATTGTATTCCCTTCTTCTTGAGATTTGGTGAATGCGTAGTATATATATATTTATGTTATTTCTGTCCGTTGTTGTTGGTGTCGATGAATAATGCACGTCGCGCTCCGACGCACACCATGTTTGATTTTAATATAATTTCAGTCATACCTTAATATTTAAATGTTGTGTCTGGTCCGAAAAAAAAAGAGGCATAAAGGATGATGATAATGCGCCGGGGAATATGGGATAAAAATTGATAAAACTTATGAGGATGTGAGGAAGAGGTTGAGAGAAAGAGAGAACAATGATGGAGAGGCGGACAACATTAAAATTCAGGAGGGCTCTGCTTGCTTCTGCTGCTGTCGATGCGGAGGAAGAGACAGTAGCAAGTGAATAAAGAAGAAGTGTGTTTCGAGTATTTTTAGAGAGGCAGTAAAAATCTTGATAAGGTTCGGGGTTATCTTCCTCGCATTGCGGTACTCCCTCGTTCCTCTCCATCCATCCTCGAGTTACACGCGCTATATCCAAAAACAAATGAGCTATAGATTCCTAGGCAAGGATTTAATGGCTCGCACAAGGGCCCGCTCTGTTTTTAAAGAGATCTCTAAGTGTTTTTCCACCATATATATTTTACTTTTTTTTTCCGTTTCACCACGATAATTTCAAATTAATGGCATCATAATTCACTATTGCCCACTATTTTTAAATCACCCTCCTTAAGCGATTATTAGGAGCGTCTCTCAAATTTATTTGTTTGCTTCCTCATTTCGACGTTGTTGTTGTTTTATCCTTATTTTTTTTTCGGCTTCTTCATTTTGTGAGGAATTTCAAATAATAGCTATTTACGCTCGATTCTCGTTACGTGTGGCTTTCCAGCTACGTTTATCTTGTTTCATTATCTGGCTTAGGTCGGGTGGTCGGAACTTCCTTTTCATAAATGAAATCACTGTTCGGTGCATGAATGTATGCAGTAGGCGCGCGTCCGTACGCCACTACATGTCCATCCGACGCTGCCGAACAATAAAAGTGATATAGACAAAGTGCTTCTCCTCCTTTCTTCTTTCTTGTTCTTCTGCTCTTCGCGTTGATGTGCTCGTGCTTCAATTCCATTTTTCTTTTGTGGTAGGATCTGTAAAACGCGCCGCAGACATGGACGACATCCTCATCATCTCGGTGAGGGAGAGCGAGGCGGCGAAGCTCTGGGTGGATTACTTCGTCTCGTATTTCGAGCAGTTCGGAAAAGATCCGAGTTTGAACCCAACGAAACCCTACAAGTAAGTCGCTTTTAGTTTGCGATCAACGTACGGCATCTCTGACCTGTACTTTTTCTTTGTCCGTTTAGGGTGCATCACCTGGGAATCGAGGATATCATCGAAGCCAACGGCGATGTCAGACTAATCGCCGAGAAGACTTCCGGCGTTAAACTGCAACTCATCGTGCTTTGCCCCATGCTGCTCAAGAAGATCGCCGATAATCTGCAGTCGACTGCTAGCTTATCGAAAATACTTTTACCCGATCGGATTTTGGCCCTTCAGCTCGGAACCTCCGATGATGATATCACAGATTTACACAAAACTGGTAAGTTTACTCTCACTAAACAAAGACATTTTTTTATGAAAAGAGTTTATCATCATGTAAAATTTTGTATTAATATGTTTTTCTCTTATTACAGCGCTTTGCTCGTATTCCCAATGGCAAAGACGCGGTGTCGGTCAAGACCAGGACGCCAAGTTCGTTCAAGACTTCGTCACAGCAGCCATGGCGATCTTCACCAAAGTCTGGAAGCAACAAAGCTCCATAGCAACCGAAGAAAACTCTCAATTTTCGGTATCCCCCAAGAAAATTCGCATGGGACAAACGAGCGTTCTGGTGCTTCTCACGTATCCGCTCCAGAAGGAGGACGTAGTGAAAATCACCATAGTCAAAAATGACGAGTTCACCGAAGTGAAGACAGTGAAACGTAGGAATCCGTACACCCTGAAGATCGCCATCCCCGAGAAGTTCTTAGAAGTGTCGGCCATAGTGACCGTCCTCGTCGAGAAGAACGGAAGCGTAATTGGAAAGAGACCCATCAAGTGCGAAAGCAGGCTGCGCGAGCTCGAACAGATTTTACGCTCCAGCAACAACCCCGTCGAGTTTATGTGCCAGGTAACGTGTGCGGCGGCTTTGATCCTCGCAAATACAAAAGAAATATACATGTACACGAAGGGCCGATCAATAATCGATTTTCCTCTCCGCAGACCCTAGGATTCAGCCCTCACGACACCGAGCAGTTGGACAACTGGATGGTGCACATGTTCCAAAAGAACGTACCACCAAACTTCAACTTCTTCATCAACCAAACAGCTTATTCTAAAGGCAAGAGCAGCAACGAGGAGTACCCCACTTTATTGCATTTCGCCGCGAGATTCGGATTGGAGAAGTTGGCTGTACAATTGTTGGATAGTCCCGGTGGTGAAATGGCGTGCGATATTAGGAACATCAACGATTGCGTTCCAGTCGACATCGCCGACAATTGCGGTCATCTAGAAATCTCCAAAATCCTAAGAGATCACATGGTAATATCAACAACATTAATACAGCTAAAACTCAATGCTAATGACGAATTCATGTTGTTTATCTCCAGAAAATGAATGAGCTTACCAATATTTACATTCAGCTTAAAGACCTATCAGAAAGCTCCAAGCAGCAGTCCCAGGTCCCAAAGAAACCCCAAGATGAAGTCTACTTGAAACCCACGTCGGCCGGAGACTTTTACAAATTGTGCCCAGCCCCGAAACCCGTATTACACTCCCCCTTGACCCCGACAATAGCCGAAGAACCTCCGCAATACCTTCAAATGGGTAAGTGAAATTAAGAAATAAATATACAAACAATTACTAATTTAAAAAAAAAACTTTTAATAAACAGATAAGGTGACTCCGATGTCGTCCCCTTTATCAGAAGTACTTCCCTCGTTTCATCAACCCAAATGCTCGGGAAAAACACCGCATCACACCTCCCAGACGAGCATAAATTCCGTGACAAAAAACGTGCTCGCCCCAGAGGACAAGGTCCAAGTGGAACTGGCGGAGATCATCAACGACTTCAAGAATAACGTGCACACGATCACGCAAACCGAGCAGCTCGTCGCCGAATGGCAAAATCGCAATTACGTCCAGAGATCTTTCAAGGAGAAGAAAGAGCAGCTGGAGCACATGAGGTTGGCCTACGAGCAGCTGCAGCGCGACATGAAATCGAAAACGAAGAAAACTGGCACCTTCGATATGCTGAAGAAGCTATTCGGATTGGGCAGCTCGAGTTCATCGAAGGAAGAAAAACTCGAAGTTGGATATCCTCAGAATCCGATCAAGAATGATATGAGTATAAGCAACCCGAGACCGGTCAGCAGCTTAAGCATTCAAAGCACATCGAGCTCTTCATCGTCTGGTAGGATAAGTACGATCAGTGGATGTAGCCTCGGAGATAGCGGAACGCATTCAGATCACGAGGAGAGAAAGAATATCATCAATTCCGACACAGACAGGGAGTTGTCTCTCAATTACATGATCCCTCCAGCACCGAAACCCATTAAGCAGGGTATGTTTGCTGGCAAGAACATGTTCCCCACCATCGAAGTAAGTACCAAAAATAATCCAAATGTTAAATAACAAGATTATTAATTGATTGTTTTTACTTTTCCATTAGGAGCGTCCACCACATCCAGTTCCAAGACCCGGTTCTGATATTTCTGATTCATACTACATTCAATTCCCACCAAACGGTTCTCCTGTCGAAGGTAATGACTCAACTCCTTTGCAAATCAACATTTATTAATGGACTGTGTCTTTTCATCCTTTCAGTTTCGAGGGACTCACAAGAATACATCAATTTCCCTATTAAACCGCAGTCCGCTGACAGAATAAGTCATGAATACATGAACTTCAAAGCCCCATAAAGGATCAAGACTTTCGCCACCCACACACACACACAGCATTTTGTTTGTTATATGTATTATATATATATTTTAATTGATATTTTTTGTATAATTAATTTATTTATTATTTTTTTATATGTTTACTATATTCTAATTTATATTTTTTTCTTGGTGTACTTTGATTGAGCAAAGACATACCCAACATTTTTTTTGTATGCAATTTTATATAATTTTTTTATGTAAATGTTTAAACGAAATTATACACTTTTTATAAAAGATTTATTATAAATGAAGTTATAAAGAAATATATGATTATTTAAATAATTTCATCTATTTAATTATTATTGCACAACCTCAAATTATTAGTTGATTGCTTTACTAAATGAGCTTTAAAGTCAACATAAAAAAATCGCAATTTTCCTTTAAGATATTTCTATTCGTCTTAGACTACAAACAATGATTTTAGTAGAGAAAATAACCTGGGAACATATTGGAAACAAAAGGTTGGAATGTATATACAAATTTGGTTATATAGCATAGTTTTAAATCAAAGACAAATAAGATTTTATAAACAAAATTTTATTAGTTAGTATATAAATAATGAGATAATTAAAAATATTTAAAATTGAACAACTTCTTCGCCATCTTCTATCACCAAATGATGTTTGGTATTTTCTTTGATAAACTGTTTGAATTGATCATCAACAAGCTTCTCCATAGTGACTTCCTGGAAAACCTGAGTGAAAGCTGTTTGAATGAATCCCATCTTTTCAAACATATGAATACTGATAGCGTTATTCGCCGAAATTTTCACGGTGTATTGCTTAACTTGCAATTTGTCGATACCATACTTAAGCAGGAAGACCATGGCCTCCCATCCGCAGCCTTTCCTTCTGGCCCACTCCTCAGCAATCATTATCTCAGCTTCAGCAACAACGGCCAAAGGCCCATCCTCATTATTAAGGAAAAACAAATTTGTATCCCCAATCATAGCAGCCACCTCATTTTGAGTCTCCTCATACTTCTCCTTATCCAAAATAATGAAGGTGCACTTATCATTGTCCAACATCCAAGAGTGCTGCATCTCATACTCCTGATTCAAAGTCAATGGCTCTGAGGCTGTTAACTCCTGCAGCTCTTTGGACTGCATCCAGCTGTTGTACTTGAGTACATGCTCCTTGCGATAGGGCACCAAAATCACTCTTTCACCAATTATTTTAGTATTCTTGTTGATAAGCATTGACCATGCTTCTTTTAGAGGTTATGTAAGTGTCAAAATATAGAAACAAAACACATCAGAAACAATAAAAAATATTTATTAAGATTAATTAATTAGTTACAGACGTTATTTTTTTGAATGCTGAAAAATTGGATTTAATTAATATACAGTTTTAACGATATATTTCTAATTGCATTACCTTTTTCAATGTGCCATAAATATCCAATATTCCCCAGGTCTTCCATTTACCATTTTTCCTCTTATCCTTAACATCAGGTTTCTTAGTCTCCTCAATTTCTGCTTTACCTTCCTGCTGCAGCTTTTTCAACTTAATTTTATCCTTTTTCTCATTGAATCTCTGCTCAATGATAGTTTTATAATTTACATATTTGTTCTTTGGCGGTTTAGCACCTGAAATATAAAAAATAGTAAAACTAATTTCTGCATAGTTTTTAACTAAGCCAAAGATATACCTAATTTGATGGCCAATTTCATTTTAGCTTCTCTCCTTTGCTTCGGTTTTAAACCATTTATACTGAACTGAGTAATTTCATTTCTTGCCGCCTCCATATCCAAGATGTTCTCTTCCTGCTTCTTAGCCTTCTTTTTCTTCTGGTTTACCTTCTTCTTCTTTGCCTTGTACGATTCAAAACTAACTACCTGCAAACTGCTTTCCGGCTTTGCTTTCAATGCTGAACCTCTCGTCGCCACAAAATCCGTTGATTCCATTTAGATTTCTTAATGCACTGAATTTAATTAAAGATCCACAACACTCTTCAAAGCATATCTTTTGCAAGTCCTGTTTATGTTTATTACCTAGGTTATAACATATTTGAAGTTATAGGTTATAAGTATTAAGCTTTTTTGAACATCAACAGATAGCGCTGTTCAATTCAATCTAATATATAAAATTGTTTCTTAAATTATCTATTATAACAATTAATCAAAATATAATTAATTATATTTAAATTTTCATATATAATTTGCAACAAATAAAGATTTTACTGCAATTTTAAAATTTTAACAGCGCTAAAACTGTTGAACTATAAGCTTGAAATTAATTCCTATAGAATACACTGAACACATTTCATATAGCTACAGAGTTTCCCAACCTTTTTAAATATTGCAGATAAAATATGAGAAAGTTATATTATTTTATTTAGAAAATATGTGTTGAAATTATATAAGATTATATGAAATTACATCAGTAATACGTCTTATACCTTCATGTTATTAGATTTTATAGTGGAAATTGTGCTATAACAATATTTCTAATGAATGAAAAGAAAAACAATTTGAAATGTATTTTTTTTATATTGTCTATTAATATTTGATAAATGATAAAGCTGCGTTTGATTGAATCACACTTGCTGTATAAAAACACATCAATGATATAACAAATCTTTTGATGGTCAAACCTTTGATGCATATTTTATCATATACTTGCCTTTAATAAATTCATTAAGATGAAGAAAAAAACTCTTATATAAATGGTTGCACTATTCATATAATTTACAAAACAAAATGTACCCTGATAACTATTTCACGTTCATCATGAAACTATACAAAGCAGCGGGTTACTACGAACCTAAGAGAAGCGCGAAAAGCAGCCAAAAACTCTTCTACACTATATACAACGCTCTGATCATCACAATTTGTCCAATTTATTTTACTACAGTGGAAACAGTGATGCTGCGTTACACTATAATTGATCTTAACACGTTCATAGATCATGCAGGTATGCTTTTGATCCACATGGCCGGATCGCTGAAGATCTACATGATGATCACGAAACGCAACATGCTCAAGAGGATCATGAAGACGTTGCAGAGCGAAGATTTCCAGTACGAAGATTACGAGGACTTTCAGCCGGGTAACATCATAGCGCAACATTCGAAACAATCGGAGTTGATGTGCAAGATGTTTCTGTTCCTCGGCGCAATGGTTCCCATTTCCAATCAAGTTTCTTCTTTTTTCAAATACTTCATGCATGGACATCTTGTGACCACCGGGAATTTAACTTGCCAATACATCTTGCCGTATTACAGTTGGACTTTTTTCGATACGGAAAGCAAGGGTGCTTGTGGTATAGCTTTGATCATTCAAACTATTCCTCTGTTGCTATTTGTCCCACCAATAGTTTGTAATTATCTAAAAGATCTTTATTTTCAATCATTTATTTATATACTTCTTTCAGCTTACGACACAAGCTTCACCTATTTGGCTTTATTTTTGCGAGGACACTTCTTGTGTTTGCGGGAAGCTTTCCGAACGGTCAGACCTCGATGTCTGAAACGATTGCAATTACCGGAAAATTTGGAGTCTACTTTGGATGGAGAAAACTTTCAATTAGAGGAAGAGATTAAGAAGGAAATGAGAAAAATGAGCTACCATTCACAAACTATTATTGGGTATAATTCCAATTACAAAAATCAATCTATTAATTAATATTCATTAGTAAAATGCAAATTTATTTTCTTTGAAATTACAGGATTTGCGACGAATTGGAAAATTTCTACGCGTTTCCACTGTTAGTCCAAACATTATCGACTTTAGGAATTTTAGTAACTTGTCTTTACATAATTTCTATAGTGAGATCACCAATATCTCTTTAAGATTTCTGCAAATTCATTCAAATCGCTTGCAGGAACCTCTTTTCAGTTCTATAGCTTACAGCCAAATACAATTCGCGATGGGAGTGCTCTTCCAATTCGGAATGTATTGCGTCTTCGGAAATGAAGTCACGTTCATGGTAATTTAAAAAATATAAGTAAATTAATAATAGATATTCAATTTATATTAGGCTCTGAGCGTAACAGATGGAATATACAGCTCAAATTGGTATTACAGTACAAAATCAACGAAAACCACAATGCTTATAAACATGCAACGCTTACAAAAACCAATCTACTTTTCGGTTGGAAAATTCTCACCTCTGACACTCTCAACTTATCTAACAGTAATTAAAGACACACATAAATTTGATATTATTTAATTTATTTCCATGTTACAGATAATCAAGGGCTCATATTCCTATTACACGTTTTTGAGCAGTAAAAATTAATTAATTAAAAAAAAAGAATGTGTAATTGTAGAAACATTATTTTTTATTGATGTGTTTCAAGTACTCAATCCCACCTTCCAAAGCAGTTAGAATGTGAACTCTCTTCTCCAGAAACCAGATGATCTCAACCAGAGATTTGCACGTTGAGTTTTGATATCTTTTCGTGTCTTCGTGCATCTTTCGTAGTAGAAGATTGGAGAAGAAGGCCTCCCATTCGGCTGTCAGCATCGAGTTTGTGATCAAGTAGCAGACGGCACTTTCCGCAATATTGATGAGCTTTTCTATGTAAGCTTTGCACTCGAAATCCAATTCGGTAAGATACGTCAATTCGTGGATTATCGATGCGAGTTCTGGATTTCTCCCGAGTTCCGACTCTTTTTGCAATAAGAAATATCTTTGTTTGTTGGCCATCTTTCAAATACTGCACGGATTAGTTTCAAACTCCTTTTTATATCTTCTTCAACACTCGATGTTTATTAAACTATACATTACGAAAATATTTACAGTAATTTTATATCTGAAAGAAACCATGCTATTCCTGCTATTGTATTACTGATATACAAAATAATATTTATTTTATGATTAATTGTTGACTCGTTTTGAAATGTATTTGTGTAAAGTTAATATTTCTTAACGAGGTATTCAAAAAATAAGCACATTTCGCTTTAGCTATGTCAAATTCAAAGTTGTCTTATATAACTAGACCAATAATTTTAAAAATATATAAAAATAAAGTCGATTTCGGCACAATTTCCTGAATTAATTGAAAATCACACATAACTATCAAACATGAAATATGCACATTAAAAATAAGAGTTTGACCTTTCCAACAAACTAAATACTACTATTACGACCTTTCAAATATGTCAGCACTGAAAATGTTCTTCATTTTTACATTTTGAAAATACATTTTTCGATTTTCCTTTTTATCTGTCAACGTTCCGCAACTCGTTAAGTTAGACGTTGTGATCCGACGAGTTTTCGGTTATTACTGTTTTTTTCTTAATTACTCAAAAGTTTCGTAACTTATTTTTAATTTTTGATGGTTGCGTAAAAGGTGTTTCTTACAAAAACGAACAATGATAACTTTCATTTATTCTTGAATTACTCATGAACCGCGCAAGCTAATTACATCACCAAATACACAAATTCAAGCTAAAAGTCTTACCTTTCCAACTAGCACACTTTGTAATGCAATCCTTTCATCTGCTACGAGCTGACAGTCAAATGCTGAAAAGGAGTATGTTGACGTAGAACAGTAAGGTTTTACTAATTATTTTTTGAATCATTTCATAACTGTAAAGTTGAATAATAATGGGAGAAAGTTCAGAATTTAGTGGATGTTTAATTAAAGTAATTAGATTTTCAAAAAGTCAATAGGCAACACATAATGCTTGCGATTTACTTGAAGTTTAAAAAATATATTTTTCAAAAATCAATTACTTTTTCTACACTTTTTTTTTGTCTTGAAGCATAGATTTTAAATATTGCAGTCAACTGGAGCAAAAGTAAGTTGGAGTTCCTCAAACACGTGTACACGTTGCTACGAAATATTTCGCTTTGAAATGCAGATGACAGAGGCAAGCAGAAGCAGCTGCAGCCCCAAAGCGAGCGGCAGCAAAGAGAAGACTAGACTGTCCAAGAGTTTCAAGAAGAAAAAGTCTAATAAGAAGTACGTGATAACCCAAGCAGGTGTTGCTCAGACTATGAGCGCGAATCTTATAAAGGAGATGAAGAAGCTGCAGCTCAGCGTCGAAGATCTGATACCGAAGATGACGTTCTGCAGATTGATCAAGGAAATCATGCAGAAGTACGGTGAGTACCGAATCCAGGGACAGGCTTTGCAAGGTCTGCAGACCGCAGCTGAAATGTACATGGTTCAAATGTTCGAGGATAGCAATAAGTGTACTATGCATGCGAGACGCGCCACCCTCCAACCGCCAGACATGCAGCTCGTTTTGAACATCAGATCACGTTACGACGTCGTAGCGACGGACAGTCTGCTATAATACCATTATTACACACATTAACTAATTTATTTTATACGAATTTACATGATGGCAAACGCGTCGTTCTGATTTGCGTTTTGGTAGAATCAGCAAATGACGTGGCATCATGCAATCATCAGGACAGACCGAATAATTTTGTTTATATTTTAATATTTTTAGCTCTTTTTTTTTAAACTTTTATTTATACAGACGACTTTTAAAGCTGTTTTATTTGCTTCAACGTTCATATTATTTGCGTCCATTGGAAAATAAAAATATTGTACACAACTTTACTTTGTATTGCTTACGAGTTATAGGAAGAGTTTATTTTCCCTGAGTTTACGTTTACAAAGGAGACGAGGATTTGTTAACATTACAGAAATCAAGCCGTCTCCACCATATTCAACAATTGTCAAAAATAAACAAGCAATTAGTATGAAATGGTTGAAATAAAAAAAATGTTTTTAAATAATATACTTTGTTGGATTAAAAAATAAATCGTGTACAAAAATCGAAGCTCCTAATCGCTCACTTCATCGCTCGGCACATAATCCTCATCACTATCTTCACCTGAATCTATCTCATCCAGCTCCAAATCATCGAGATCTTGGAACAACGATTCATCGACTTTAACAGAATCACCTGCAACGAAATTAGTTTTGTTTTTATTTTACAAATTCAATTAGAATTGAAATAGAAATTACCTTCATCCAAGAATTTCAAATCAGACTCGTTGAGAGTAATGTCTTGCAAGAACAACTCTCTGCCTGTTAATTTCTTTGAATCCTTTTCCACAGTCTCCCTCTTCTTAGCAATTCCCATCTCAATTTCGAATTGCATCTTCCATTTCATGAAAGTCTCCACAGTGACTCGTGTACCTTCAAATCTTTGCTACAAATACATTTGCAAAAATTAAAATTAATCACATCCATAACTACAATAAACTTACTCTCTCAGCTTCCTCCTCCTCTTTCTCTTTTCTATACTTCTCCTCTTCCACATACTTCTTATGTTCATCCCATTTAACATTCAGCCATTCTTGGGCTGTAGAAACTAGTGTAAATACCATAACCATACCTAAATTTTCAGTGACCTAAACAATTCCAATAAGAAATTTGAGATTTTTAACTGATCTTAATCATACAAACCTGTTCTTTTAAATGCTCTATTAAACCAGATTCAAAATCATTCTCAAAGTTCACTGTGTCCTCAACTTCTATTTCTGGTGCTTCTTCAGGGTATTTAGGTGTGTATGTGAAAACCAGATTACACATTAAACCACCGTCTTCAGTTTCTGAGTCGAATTCTTCTGATTTTATGGGTATGGAGAACTTGTGTACGGGACTAGAAGAGATGACTGCAACAAGAAATCAAGATTAAGAGACCAGCTGATTTATAGAAGAAGTGTACTTACTTGACATATCTCCGCAGTAAATGGAATCGAGAGCCTCGATTTCATTGTTCTGTTCCTCTTGGTAATCCATTTTCGCTATTCAGTGCAATAAAATCCGGTGTACAAATACTTCAACTATTGGAAACATTCATTCTAACCTGTAAATTTCGTATCTTGTCACAATCAGTCACAATTTTCTTTCATCTAAGTTTTACCAACTTACAAACTTTTTGTAAACTTTTATATTTGAACATAAAATTCATTATTTTTATAAATCCAATTAATTAACAATTTCAAATATTCATTAATTACATAGAAAATCCCTTTTAATTACGAAGTATTCAAATAAATAGTTAATCAAAGCACGTGGTTTATATTTTCATTTAATTTTATATAACTTTATAATATTGAATAGTTAAATTCATTATAATTTCATAATAAAATTATTATCGTACATATAAATACATTAATTATGAAAAACAAGATAAACTAGTTCAATGCGGATTTAGGCAACCAACATTGCACAACTTTCATGAAAATATTGAATTTTCATAAATGTTTCATGTATATTTCTTTAACAATTTTCCTTGTTCCAACTTAAGTGAACTAACAACTGAGCCCTTTCTATTCAAAGTACGAATATTAAATTCAGTTAAAAAATATTGTTCCTTCATTAAATATCACTTATTATTTTCAATAGTTAGATGAATATAAACATAAAACTTAAAGAACATTTTTAAAATGTAATTTCTAATTTTTTATTGTTTATATCAAATCTATTTCGAGAACAAACAAATTTTGTGTAAATCATTTTTGATTATTTGATAAGGATAATATAATAGCAATTGATGTTTGAAATTATAATTTTCTCATAAAATAAATAAGTACATAAAACTACTGCGTTGAGTATCAATATAAATATAATTCTAGATAAAAAAATAAGGTAGATCGAAACTTTAGAAAATGAGATTATAGAGTTATTTTTGCTGATTAAAGTGATTAATTCAAAAGCTTCAGATGCAGCGGAACTTTTCGAGGGCTTGGAAAAAGGCTTCTGCCATATACATGATTGCTGTGATGACCGATGAAAGAGCTGCGATGAACTTGTAAATTGCTATCGTCTCGACCTCGGCGAATTGCGCTTCCTGCGCCAACACCTCCGGTTGCAGCTGATGCCACGAAGCGAAGAGGATGAAACCGGAAACGAAGAGCAGCGCGCTACAAACACCGTTCAGCAGAAGCTGCAACAATAGATAAAGATACAATGAATCGAGTAAATAAATGAATCATCAATTACCATTTCAACGCTGTTGGAGGATTTTACTGGTAGTAAGACCAAGATGAGCGTTGGAAATACCGTGAGGCCACCGAAGAAGAAAGCCAGGACGACGTCTGCATCGGTGCATCCGTCCTTACCTCTTATTGCCAAAGCGAAAAACGTGACTGTCATGATGATCAGTATCTGTTATTGTAAACAAAATAAATTAATTGCGAAACGGTGGATGATTTAGTTGTGTTCGGACCATTTCGAAACCTTTCATGTACATGTACTTTTTGCTCACTGTTCGATTATTTGGTAATGGATCATCTTGTGGTAACATAAACCTGCTCTCGGTAAACCCGCCGTTGGCAGGTTGTGCCATCGCCACCCCTAATAAAGGCATATTTACCTGCAAAGATCATTAACTCAAAATATCAATGTAATTAATAAATGTACAGAACTTACTGCTTGATGAACCAATTAGTTAACATCAACCGTGGTTATTGTTTGTCTATCACCTGAACACTGACGAGAAAGGACGTTGGTTTCGTCGTGAATGTCCTCTATTATCTTATCGTTAATTGTCTAGAAAACACGCGTGCTTAATTAATTTATATATATATTCAAAATATTAGTTGGATGCGTTAAAATGTACGCTGTATTTCAGATTGTTTGCGTAGGTAATCTTTATCGATTGGTAATTAAATTAATAATGTGTGATTAAGAGCATCCAGACTGCCTGGGGCCTCATCCGTATCTTATCTCTGAATGAATCACTCATGTTTTTCATATATAGTTCATAGTCAGTGAGCACGTAAGAAACAAAAAAAATCAATAAATTGTTTATATAAGAGTAATAAAGTTTTTAATACAATTGTATAAGATAATCAACTTTTTAATCGCATTGATCGATAGTTTCCCTAATTTTCTCTTCGCCGAAAAAGTTTTGATTCCCTCCGAACGCTGCAGCTTCCCCTAAAGTCTCAGGAAGTTTACGGTTTAAAGTTTCCGGTAGGAACAAACCGTAGAGGATCCCGAAGAATCCCAATACCGCTGATAACGCGTACGGATATGAAGCGTCGATTTCAATTCCCTGGAAATACGGTTTATTGTATCAATTTCATGTGTTTTTTTGAAGTTTTACCAAGAAAACGATGTATGGAGCTAAAATTCCAACCGCGTTAGCTACGATTCCGTTAAAGGAAATCCCGATTTGACGAACGCAGGTTGGGTAAATCTCCATGGATTGAAGATTCACCACGTAAGCGGCGAACGCGATGCCGAACTTCAAGAAAACGCAGATTGATGATACAGCATATTGTTTTGTTTCATCTGGAAACTAGTTAGTTAATTTTGTTGATGAAAGGTTCAGGACTTAAGAATGAACCGTGGATTATGATGAGGATTAAAAGGCAGCCAAGAAATATTGCCGAGAATGAAGCCATGTTTGTCCATCGTCTTCCGAATTTATCACTTGCGTATTTACCAATAAACCAGGCTGGTAATTCAGCCACTCCTAGCCAGAAGAAGTTCAAGAAAGGGTTACCTTCTAAATTGGTAACGTTGAATGTTAAAGTATAGAATATTAGCGTGATCGTGGACCTGCCAGATGCCAAAAGCAGAGTATTTTTAGCCAATCTCCAACTTGAAAATAAACTCAATACTCCATAAACTTTCTCCTCTTGTTTCGGTAGATTTGATATGTCGTAAGCCACATTTTCAGGTAATGCTTTACCATTTGCTTTGGCAATTTTTCCTAATTCCTTCACGCATTTTTCCGTTTTCCCTTTACTTGCCAACCAACGCGGAGACTCTATAAATAATCTGAAAACATTCTAGTTAAAAATTTCGTTGATACGATTGTAATATAAGTAAATACTTCACGGTGAACATGAATAATATGCAAGGAAGAGTTGTCAAGGACATGAAGAATCTCCAATCGTTCAACCACCACATGACTAAAGGTAAAAAGCAAAACCCGATGGTTCCTCCAATATTGTGAATCATAGCTATACGAGCTCTTCTCTCAGTTTTCGAAATTTCCAAACCAGTGACCATAGGAGATTGCAGCACGGAATTCGTAGAAAAACTCCCGAAGCACATGGTTAGGAAGAATAACAGAGTCGAGAATGATGTGACGATTAAAAGCATTCGTCCAACCACCAATGTTACCACGGACATGAAAAATACAGGTTTTCTTCCAATCCTGAGGAATCAATTAAACTAATTATAACAGCATGAATTACACTTCGATAACTAACGTATCAGCTAGTTGACCAAAGATGAAGGTGCCGATAACCTCTCCTAATTTGGAGAAGATGAAGGTGTTCGTCACATACAAACCATAATCGCACACCCAAGACTCTTGCATTGGAATTGTCAACTCGTACCAAGTCTTATCGAATTCCCATCCGTGTTGACATTCTGAAATATATTTCACATTAAACTCGATAATTAAGATAACCAAAATATATAAAATCTTAAGATGTAACACTACTTATAACTTCTGAACTTCCATTGAACATTTTGCATTTGCTGAATCCGAGAACTCCTACACTATTATATTCTCTGCGAAGAGGTACAAAATATTGTTAATTGAGTGATATAATCATTCCAATTTAAACTTACTCTGGTAAATGTAATTGCTTCCATTCCTTCAAAGTGTAATTGGTAAATTCCCTTCCAGGTACAAAACACCAATGATTAGGTATAGCCAGGGCGTTAATAAAATTCTGATCAGCCATAGCTGCTACGATAGGTAACAAAATATTGAAGAGTATATAGAACCGATACTGAAATTTTCCTTCATTTCCCACCGACGCAATAATTGAATCGATTCCCTTTGCATCTTTGTCCATTTTTGATCTCACTAACTAATATTTTTCAAGTCTTGCGGATTAAGCATCTGCCTTATAAGTGTTTGTTATTAGAAAACAGTATCTTATCTGAATATATTTAAAAAAATATATTATGTAAAAGATCGAATACAAAAAATAAAATAAATATTTTACAAGTTGATGAAATCATTGTCTACACGAAACACTTCACTCGAACGTAGCAGAAGAAATACAAAGCGGGTGTTGAACTAAACAGCTTTTATTATTGTATGACCAATTGTTGTCATGTAATTGGTGTTTCGTGAATTGCTGACCTTGACTCAAATCTAAGAATCTTCGAGTTAAGAAACTATTAAAATTTTAATGTTTTTCGTTTATACTAGATTTGACAGCAAAAAATTGGTAACTTCATAAACTGCTGCTGCAAAAATATGGATTAAGGATTATTAAAGTCGTGGTCATCAATTGGATTTCTTATATTTTCTTATATAATGCTTATTTTCTTATATAATAAAAAAGTAATTAATTTAATTAAATGGGATAATCAACTTTTTAATGACATTTCATACTGATCAACAGTATCCCTTCTTTTCTCTTTGCCGAAGAAGTTTTGATTCGCTCCAAACGCAGCAGCTTCAGTTAAAGTTTCCGGAAGTTTATGATTCAGAGTCTCGGGAAGGAATAATCCAAAGATAATCCCCAAAAATCCTAATATCGCTGATAATGCATACGGATATGACGCGTCGATTTCGATTCCCTAAAACCACGGTTCATTATTTCGCTAATTCCTATGTGAATTTTTAATTTTACCAAGAAAACTACGTAAGGAGCCATAATTCCAGAGACGTTAGCTAAAATTCCGCCAAGAGAAATTCCGACTTGACGAATGCACGTCGGATAAATCTCCATGGATTGCAGATTCACCACGTACGAAGCAAACGCGACGCAGAACTTCAAGAAAACGCAGATCGCAGATACAGTAAGTTGCTGCGTTTCATCTGGAAATAATCATAATAAATTGATTGTTGCAGCAAGAGTTTATGACTTAACCGTGGATTATGACGAGGATGAAAAGGCATCCGACGAAGGTTGCAAGGAATGCAGAGATGTTCGTCCATCGTCTGCCGATCTTGTCGCACGCGTATTTCCCAATAAACCATGCGGGTAATTCGGCTGCTCCTTGCCAGAAGAAGTTCATGAAAGGGTTGCCTTCTAAATTGGTTACATTGAATGTTAAAGTGACAAAAATGAAGGTGGTCGAGGCCCATCCCGACATAAGACACAGTGTATTCTTGGATAATCTCCAACTTGAGAATAAACCTAACACACCGTAAACCTTCTCATCTTCTTTTGGTAAATTGGATATGTCGTACGCTAAATTTTCCGGTAATTCCTTCCCATTAATTTTGGCGATTTTACCTAATTCCTTCACACACCTTGACGTCTTTCCTTTACTAGCCAACCAACGTGGCGATTCAATAAAAAATCTAAAATAATTTCATTAACTAATCTCGTAATTACGATTTTAATATAATTAACTTCACGGTTAGCATGAATAATATACAAGGAAGTGTTGTTACGGCCGTGAACAGCTTCCAATCGTTCAACCACCACATGGCTAAAGGCAATATGCAATACCCAATTGTCCCTCCGATACTGTGGATCATAGCTATTCGAGCCCGTTTGTCAGTTTTGGAAATTTCCAGCCCGGTGATCAAAGGCGATTGCAGGATGGAATTTGTTGAGAAACTGCCGAAACTCATGGCGAGGAAGAACAATATAGTTGAGAATGATGTGAAGATTAAAAGCATTCGTCCGACAACCACGGTCATCACGGACATGAAAAATACAGGTTTCCTTCCGATTCTACAGTAAAAAAAATATAGAAATTAAACCAATTATGAAAGCAGTATGAAGTAATAGACTGACGTATCAGCTAGTTGACCAAAAATGAAAGTACCGATGGCCTCTCCGATCTTGGAGAAAATGAAAGTGTTGGTCACTTGAAAACTATCATCGCACACCCACGCCTTTTGCATTGGAATCGTCATCTCGTACCAAGTCTTATCGAATTCCCACCCGTGTTGACATTCTGAAATGAATTTAACATTAAAGTCGATAATTAAAATAACCAAAAACAATCATTTCTTAAGTATGAAAAAAAATTAATTTGTGTCACTACTTATAACTTCTGAACTTCCATTGAACATTTTGCATTTGCTGTATCCGAGAACTCCTATACTATCATACTCTCTGCGAAGGAAAGTATATAGTTATTTTTTAAAGGAATATCTTCGAATTAACTCACTTTGGTAAATGTAATAGTTTCCATTCCCCTAACGTGAAATTGGTAAACTCTCTTCCGGGAACGAAACACCAATGATCGGGTATTGCTAAAGCGTTGATAAAGTTCTGTGTTGGCATTGCAGCAAATAGGGGTAGCAGGAAACTGAAGATAATGTAAAACCTATATTGGAATTTGCCTTCATTTCCGACCGATTCAATGATGGCATCAATTTCGCTCGTGTCTTCGTCCATTGTTGATCGCACTTGTTTTACAACTAAGTTTTCTCAAGACTTGTAGATTAATTATTAGTCTTATCGCTGTTTGTTTACAGATCTCATATTCTTATCTTAGCGGCGCACATGTGTTAATATTTTTATAAAAAGAATATGAATATGTAATAGAGTGAAGAAATTATAAACGCAATAAAAAATATTTTATTAAATTTACTAAAGCACTTCACTCGACCACATCTCTGAGAATACTAGATATAATATTCGAAAGTGGAACTGACCTAAACGGCGATTATTATCTTATTAAGAATTGTTGCTTATAAGTAGTGTTTTCTAAATTGCTATGACTCAGTTAAATATGAAAATCTTCAGATTAAGAAGTTATAAACATAATTATTTAGAATAATATTTAATAATACCGTTTGCTAATTACATTTTTACTCTCTTATTAAATATATGTCATATAAGTTATACAAGTACTTGGCAATTATTATTGAAAGTGTAAGTACTACTACATGTGCTGTAAATACCAAAGTATACTTGTCATGTTTATTTTTGACTATTTTATAAATATGATAAAATGATAAGTTGAAGGGTCAATAAATTTAGTTACTACAACTGATTGTTTATTTACTTGATATAATCTTCGTGTAGTAAAACATTAATAAAAATGTATTGTTTTCGATACACTTCATGATATGAATTAGCAAAATAATCTGTGAAATTATGAAATTGTAGTTAAATTATTATTTTTCGGTCATTTCAAATTCATCGATTGGTTCTTGCTTCTTCTCTTTACCACAGTAATTCTGATTCGCTCCAAAAACGGCGGCTTCGGACAACGTCTCAGGAAGACTTTGATTCAGCGTTTCTGGTAAGAAAAATCCACTGAAAACACCTACAGCCCCTAAAATTACCGATAAAATATACGGATAAGAAGCGTCGATTTCGATTCCCTAAAAAATCGCTTGTTTCAACTCAATAATTTCAGTTTTATATTATTACCAGGAATACTACGTAAGGACCAAACACTCCAACAGCGTTAGCTACAATTCCGCCAAGCGACATTCCAGTTTGACGAACGCACGTTGGGTAAATTTCCATCGCCTGTAAATTCACTATGTAATAGGCGAATGCGTTGCAGAACTTCAAGAAAACGCAGAATGCAGCCACTGTTAATTGCTGTGATTCATCTAAAAATCATACAAATTACTCAAAAGTTATCAATTTATTTAAGTTTACAAACCGTGGATTATGAAAAGTATTGGAATGCACCCGATGATGGTTGCCAAAAAGGAAGCCATGTTAGTCCAACGTCTTCCGTAACGATCACTTGCGTATTTTCCAATGAACAAAGCCGGGAATTCGGCCATTCCTTGCCAGAAGAAGTTCAAGAAAGGATTGCCTTCTAAATTAGTCACGTTGAATGTCAGCGTGTAATAAATAAGGGAAGTCGTGGACCATCCTGAGATTATAAGTAAAGTGTTTTTGGTTAATCTCCAGCTAGAGAATAAACCGAACATTCCATAAACCTTCTCCTCGTCTCCTGTTACCTTAGTTAACAAGTAAGAAGCATCTTCTGGTAATTCAGTTCCGTTAACTTTCGCAATTTTATTTAATTCCTTAACGCACTTTTTTATATTGCCTTTGCTGATCAACCAGCGAGGAGATTCGATTAAGAATCTGAAAGTTGAATCAAATTAGATTAAGTAATATTTGTTTGATGACTAACTTTCCGCTGAATACGTATAGTAAGCAAGGTAGAGTTGTTGCGGCCATGAAGTATCTCCAATCATTTAACAACCACATGATCAATGGTAGAACGCAAAATCCTAACGTTCCGCCGATGCAATGGATCATAGCTATACGTGCTCTAGAATCTCTTTTGGAAATTTCCATTGAAGTCACGTATGTTGAGAAAAGTACAGTACTTGATGTGGAACTTCCAATGCACATGGCTAAGAAGAACAAAGTGGCGGAGTAGGATGTGAAGATTAGGAGCATCCTTCCAAACACTACTATTACGACGGACATGAAAAACACAGGTCTTCTTCCAATACTACAAAATGGAAAGTCAATAAGAGTTAACGGATTAGTTAATGCGGGAAACTAACGAATCCGCTAATTGTCCAAATATGAATGTACCCACGACTTCTCCCAACTTCGAAAACATGAAGGTGTTGGTCACCTGCAAACCATCATCGCAGACCCACGATTCTTGCATTGGAATCGTCATCTCGTACCAAGTTTTATCATATTCCCAACCGTATTGGCACTCTAAAACAAATAGATTTTAGTACCCAAATTTAAAAAAAATGTGTATTATTTATTGAAAATAATTGTTTTACTTGTTATTTATTTATTTAAGTAAATGTAACATTTAAATTATTTTATGTATTTACTTATAATTTCAACATTTTGAATGTGGTAGCTTCCGTTGTACATGTTGCATTTGCTAAAGCCAAGAATTCCCGCACTATCTATCTCTCTGCAAACAAATTCCACGTTTTTTTTATCATTACTTTAAATTTAAATCTACGAACATTATATGTCATTTCAAACTTACTTTGGTAGATGCAAATGCTTCCACTCATTTAAACTGTAATTCGTAAACTCTCTTCCTGGCACGAAACACCAATGATCGGGTATTGCTAAAGCATTGATGAAGTTCTGGTTGGGCATGGAGGCCAAAAGGGCGAGGAGGAAGTTGAATAGGAAGCTGAAACGTCGCTGGTATTTGCCATCGTTTCCGACTTCTGCTATAATCGATTCGATTCCTATCGTTTCTTCGTTCATTGCTGACCGCACTTAATTGGATACTACTGTATTTACATACTTAGCGATTGAGCAACGGCCTTATCTAGTTTACGCTTATCTAAATGAACGTAAACGATTTCTTCAATTCAAACTTTAACAGTGAAGAAAACAGTACTTTTTTAGTTTTTCTTGTAGAATTGTCCAAACATGTCTAAAAAGGATGTACGGCGTTTATTAACTTATGACCAATTGTAGTAATAACTAGTGGAAATTTAATTATGAGTTAAGGTCATTTATTAATTTAATAATCTTAATATTCTCATATTTTCAGTTAAATGTTTAAGATACTAATAGAATTATTTACTATATGGGATTTGAACATGTAAATTATAATATATAAACTAATAAAGAAATCTACTTTTTTATATTTTATCATAAATCATAAAATAAGAGTGGTTTTACTCTTTAATATATTTTTTTTAAATCTGCATGTTTAAAGTGAAATTGGTATTTTTTTGTTGCTGGATAATGAAGAAATTAAAACATTTTCATGGAAGTTTGATCATTAATGTTATGCAACTAAATATACATCATAATGAAAACTCAAATTTCTCTTTTACTATAAAACATTTATTAATTTTGTTTTAAATTGAAACTAAAACAACAAGTAGTAAAGAAATTTGTATATTTAATGTATATATTAATATGCAATTTTTTGTTTTTTTTTTATCAAGAGGTTCATTATTATACAACAAAGAGAATAAAAATGGGTCAACTTTTGATAAACATTTAATCATACAAGTGGAAATTCTTTTGCGAATTGTTAATGAAACATTACAGAAATGACAATGATTATTTTTATATAAAATAAATGCATCTAAAAGCAATTATAAACAACAATATTTTGGAAAATTACTCTTTGAGAGGTAGTTCGACCTGTGATATTTGCATGCGTTTCTTGCGTTTTCCCCAGAAGTCCTGATCACATCCAAACTCGGCTGCTTCTGCCAGAGTTTCTGGTAACTTTTGGTTTAGAGTTTCAGGAAGAAATACCCCACACACTACACCAAGAAGTCCCAAAGCTGCTGAAAGTTTGTAAGGATAAGATGGATCAATTTCCGTTCCCTGAAGCAAACAAATTAATATTAATTCAATTGATTCAATAATTCAGATTAAATTACAAGGAAAACTATGTAAGGAGCGAATATACCAAAGGCATTTCCAACAATTGCACTCAACGAAATCCCCATTTGCCTGATACAAGTTGGGTATATCTCAAGAGATTGCAAGTTTATCCCGTACAAGGAGAATCCAATGAAGAACTTTATTAAAACGCAAATACCAGATACAATAAGTTGCAAGGATTCATCTAAAATCTATAAATTAGATTGATATTAAATAAATAAATCAATAATTACCATGAATGATGAATAATATTGGTATACAACCAAGGAAAGTTCCTGCGAAAGCTATGAAATTAGTCCATCTCCTTCCTAAATAATCGCTCGTGTATTTCGCTGCGAAGTACGCTGGGATTTCGGCGATTCCTTGCCAGAAGAAATTCATGAAAGGATTTCCTTCTAAATTGTTGATGTTAAATGTGAAAGTATAATAAATTAACATGGCTGAGGACCATCCAAGCATTAGTAGTGTTCCATTTTTGGTTAATCTCCAACTGGAGAATAAACCCATGATTCCGTAAATCTTCTCCCTTTCTCCATTGAATTTGGTTAATATGCTAGCAATGTTATCAGGTACTTTGGTATTATTCATTCTGGCTATTGTTTCTAGTTCTCTGATACATTTAGAAGCTTTTCCTCTATTGGCCAACCACCGAGGAGATTCGATCATAAATCTGAAATTATTAACTATGACTTAAACGAGTAAATTTTTAATGAAAACACTGACTTTCCAAAAAATATAAATACGATGCAAGGAAGCGTCGATACAGCTATGAAGTATCTCCAATCTCTCAAAACCCACATCATTAGTGGTAGAGAACATACGCCAAGTGTAGCTGAAATGCATTGTAGCATAGCTATGTAAGCTCTGTTCTCGGTTTTGGAGATTTCCATTGCAATGACTAAAGGTCCTTGAAATATTGAATACGATGGAAAACTGCCTAAGAACATTACCAGGAAGAACAAAGGGACCGAATGCCATGTTACAATCAAAAGCATCCTTCCTATAGCAACTAAAATTACTGTTATAAAGAAAACTGGTTTTCTCCCAATTCTGGAAAACATACATAAATAATTGGAATTATTAGGTGGTTTTTACTAACGTATCAGCTAATTGTCCAAAGATCATGCTTCCAATAACTTCGCCCAGACGAGAGAATATAAATGCGTTGGCAACATTGATGGAATCATTGCAAACCCAAGATCCTTGCGAAGGAGCTGTTAAATCGTACCAAGTTTTATCGTATTCCCATCCATTTTGACAATCTTAAATTGCAACTTTGTAATACTTTCTTTGAATTATTTGCAAGTTAATTACTTATTTCTTCGCTTGTTCCATTAAGGATATTACCAGTAAACATCTGGCAATTGCTGAAGCCATTGTTTTCTATACTCGAATTATCTCTTTGAATAAAACAAATTTAAAAAGTTTAAAATTAAATTAAATTAAAACATACTTTGGTAAATGCTTTGTCTTCCATTCATCCAAAGTGTAATTGGTGGATTCTCTTCCAGGTATGAAGCACCAATGATCTGGAACAGCTAAAGAGTTGATGATGTTCTGATAAGGCATTGCGGCAACAAAGATAAGGGCAAAGTTGAAGGCCCAGTTAAAGCGTTTCTGGAATTTGCCATTATTTCCCACAGCTTCGATGATGGAATCGAATTCGCTCTCTTCGTCCATTGTCGACAATTTACTGTGCAAAACTTTGCATGAAGCAAACTTTTGTACGCTTTAACTATAATTATTCAGGTCTGCTTAATTAAAATTCTTATCAACTTTACATACACTTTTAGAGTTGTGCCAAACATGTTGCTGTTCATTAAATAAACTAATAATTGTTAAAAGTTTTAATTTATGATTATGTAAATAAATCCTAAAAATTGATTTGGAAAATTTTCTTATTTAAAAATATATTTATATAAATTATTGAACAAATGTTTGTTGTAACATCACAACTCTAGCATTGCATTTATTACATATTGTTATTTCATTCTGCTTGCTTATCAAGTTGTTTTCCAAGTTTATTTTCTTGTTAATATAAAACACACAGCTGAAACTAACATATTGTTATCTCGTTATAAATAGTTTGATGAATGTTAAATTAAGATCAAACAGGATGAAATAAATACATAGTTTATTAACGTTCTGTAGACTATAATTTTATTATAAAAAAAATAAGTATTTCGTCTGACGAAATATGTATTAAGTAACGAGTATTTATAAAATACAATTAACGATTTACGCTTTGAGAGGAACTTCGGCTTCCGTCATCTTGACGCTCTTTCTTCGTTTACCAAGCAGATTTTGATCAGCGCCAAAGACCGCAGCTTCAGCAAGAGTTTCTGGAAGTTTCTGGTTCAAGGTTTCCGGAAGGAAAACGCCACAAACAGCGCCGATAAGACATAAACAGGCTGAGAGGATGTAAGGATATGAAGCGTCAATTTCGGTTCCCTAAAATGTTATCAATTAATCTTTTGTTGATTGTTAATGTGTAATGGATTTAGTTACTAGAAGAACGACGTAAGGTCCTAAGATTCCGAATGCATTTCCGACGATTCCTCCTATGGAAATACCAGTTTGCCTCACGCAAGTTGGATAGATTTCTAAAGCTTCCAAATTAACAACGTAATACGCGAAGGATATGCTGAATTTGAGGAAAACGCAAATTGCAGCAACTGTAATCTGATTTGATTTATCTAAAAACAATAAATAATTTAAGTTAATTTTTACTGATTTCAGTTTTCTAATTATGGATTTACCATGAACTATGAATAGTATAGGTATGCAACCTAGGAAGGTTCCGACGAAAGCTCCGATGTTCGTCCAACGCCTACCAAACTTATCGCTGGCAAATTTACCGACGATATAAGCTGGAAGTTCGGCCATTCCTTGCCAGAAGAAGTTCATGAAAGGGTTTCCGCCCAAATTATTAACGTTAAGAGTCAAAGTGTAATAGATTAGAGTAGTCGTGGACCATCCGGTGATTAAGAGAAAGCTGTTTTTGGCCAACCTCCAACTGGAGAATAAAGCCAACATTCCGTACACCTTCTCCTCCTTTCCAGATACCTTAGCTAAAGTATAAATTGCATCTTCTGGTACTTTGGTGTTATTGACCTTAGCAATCTTATGTAACTCTTTAACGCATTTTTTCGTCTTTCCTTTACTCGCCAACCAACGCGGAGATTCAATCAAGAAGCTAAAAAATGCATATTTTAATAATTATGTATTTTTTTTGCTGCGCTTTTTATTCACCTTCCAGAAAACATGTAAAGGAAGCAAGGAAGAGTGGTTACCAACATAAAGTAGTACCAATCTCTTAAGACCCACATCAGAAGTGGTAACATGCATAATCCAACAGTCCATCCAAGACACTGCATCATAGCTATGTGAGCGCGGTCTTCGTTCTTTGAAATCTCCATGGCAATGACCAGAGGACCTTGGAAGACGGAAGTTGAAGGTAAACTTCCGATGAAAGTTGTCAGGAAAAATAGTGGTACTGAATAAGCAGTTATAATGGAAAGCATCCTTCCCAAGACGATTGTCACTACGGTCATGAAGAAAACAGGTCTTCTACCAATTCTACAAAGGAAAAAACCGTACTAAATCATATCCATTGGAATGTAACTTAAAAAAACTTACGCATCTGCCAATTGCCCAAACACGAACGTTCCGAAAACCTCTCCCAATCTGGAAAAGACGAAAGCGTTCGTCACGTGCAGTGTTTCGTCGCAGACCCATGATTCCTGAGATGGTGCAGTCAGATCGTACCAAGTCTTATCAAATTCCCATCCATCTTGACATTCTACAATTTTATAACAATTAGTTGATAATTCTTTTGAATAATCTTTACAATTTAATCTTAGCTCTAATCATTCAACTTTACTAGTTTTAATGCTGATTAAGATAAACACATACTTATAATTTCTGGATTTTCAATGTCGGAGGTCCTGTTGTACATTTTGCATTTGCTGAAATCATATTTGCCCACATTGTCGTATTCCCTACGAAAAATGAAACAAAGAAAAATTTAAATTTGAAATCAACTCGACAATCGCAACACCTAATTAGAAATAGTGATAATAATATATTTTTTGTGTAATGCAAATTTTCGTTGATTTTCATTAATAAATATTTGCATATACTTCGCGACGTGTATATTCAATTTCTATGGGAACATGTTGTCATGGTAATTGAGACTGTTCAAACATGATAGGGTCTGACATGTGTGTCTGCCTGTATCCGATTTTATTGAAGGCAGATTTCTGTGTTTTGATTGTTTCCAGTTTTCCATTAATCCGATAAGGATCGTAAAGCTAATTCTTATATAACGTTTGATGACGCAATTTAGAAATGCGTAACTAATCTTTAAATGCAACGCGATTTAAATTTTGGAGACGGAAATTAACGCGAACTACATAGATATTAGAATACTTAATCCTAGTATTATGTTAATACTAAGTTTTATGGATATTGTCTGTGGTAATCTCTAAATATGTAATTGTGTGCAATAAAATTCAAATTAAATCTATTACTAAATTAATTTTACGTGAATTACTTAATGAATAAAGGAAACATTTAAATTATACATTTCCAGAATGAAAATATTAAAAAAAAAATGGAATTTAATTATTAAGTTTAGATAAGTATAATTTAATCATGTTATCTTTTTTTTCATGTTTCATTCATTGTGCCAATAATTAAAACTTTAAAAAACACTGTTTTTCTTTAAAAATGTGCTTAATAATCATCAAATGAACATTTTTTTACATTCATTTGAATTGAATCTACATTTAATTGCCTATATATATTTCTTTCAAATTATTGATGAATCAAATTGTAATTTTCAATAATTTATACATACAAGTACAATAGGAAAAGCACGTTGCTTAACTTCCGTAAGTTGTCAATCATCAAGTAAGATAATACAATTATTTTCCAGGCCAAGTCGATTGTTTACGTTATTTTTTATTTTAAATTGATAATTCCGATCACGTGAAATTAATCAATTTGTAAATATTGAAACAACAAAAATTCCACAACAAGACGTGAATAAAAACTCCATTAAATTTTGTTTATATATATATATACGAATTAAAGTGCTTCAAAACTATAAAAAAAATAGTATAGTTTGAAACCGCAATAATAAAAGAATTTTGTGTACAAATTTTTAAGAATTTATGTCGTTTAATTAAAATTTAGCATGTTTTGAAATTTTCAAACCGTGAATCCGATTTAATGTAACCCGCACTACGAAAGTTATTACAATATATTATTTAAAATAATGCTGCTACCGTCTCAAACAGTCAACTTGTGCATTTTATATGAATTGTATATTATGTACATTCAGTCTTGGAAACGGTTTTGTATTTTACTGGAATGACATATTATTTGTACCTCGTTGGCAAATATTGATATAAAATTAAACGAGTAAAATATTATTATCTGGAGATAAAAGAAGAAAGAAAAGTAATGGAAGGTTTCAATAATTAGTTCAATGTGATGTTCAGTGTAATCAGTGTATGAAGGAAAAACGTATTCATGTTTATATTGCTTTCATTGACATCAAAACAGTGATATTTTCTAATATTCAATAGAAGTTTTCGAAAAAATAAATTGTTTATGTTTAATAGAATTTTGTGTTGTCAATGTTTTATGGTGTATATGCCTGCAATAAATTGTAGTTATTTCTCTTCGATTTATATAATCAGTTAAGTATATTTTAAATTAATAACATACAATATTTGTAATTTTTTGTAGACTTAATACTTTCTTGTTTCTGCTATAGTTTTACATTGTTTTGGATAATTCTACTAATAGTAACCAGTGAAAACATATATACTTTTTTTTTACTCAAATTATATAATTGTTAGTAATAACTTTAAATGTTTTCAAGTGATACTTTGTTCGTGTGTATTTCGTGTTATTAAGACTTTGTTACTTTATTAACTTAATTAAATTTTGTGTTGAAATGATGAAAAAAATGTTTGTACTTACATGGGTATATGTAATTCCTTCCATGTTTCAATTGTATGATTGGTATATTCTCTTCCAGGTACGTTGCACCAATGCTCAGGAACGGCCAATGCGATGACGATGTTCAGATAGGGCATCGAAGTGAGAACGACTAGGACGAAGTTGAACAAGAAGTTAAACCTCTTCTGAAACTTGCCATCGTTTCCGACCGTCTGGATGACGGAGTCGAAGGCACAATCTCCATCGCTCATGATTGATACCGTCGTGTGTTTGGATGGTTGGTTGGTCTGCTAGATAGGAGGAAGGCGAGTGACGGACAGAGCGTGGACGCAGTGCGTCTAAATCACTTCATGAACAAATACACTTATCATCAACTTTATTCTATTTGCCAAAAAAAACATGATATTCCCAGCTACAATAAAAAGAGATTTCGCGATTCATAATAACTTTTCCGCCAAATCCCTCTTATCTACATCATCGTACACGCATACAATTATCAAATCACAAACACATACAACAATTATAAAATTAGAGTTCGAGCAGTGCAATTAAAAGGACCATCAACCATGAAAATCCCAAGTGTTTTGAAGTCGAAGAGTGTTGATGCTTCTTGATCCAGTCGGAGTATTCTCTCACATCCGTGTAAACCCCAGGATGCATGGCCCTGGCGCATTGGAAACCCCACGAGACGAGACCCATCAGCTTATTTTCGCATACCAGTGGACCGCCGGAGTCGCCCTAAAAGGAGATTAAAAGATTTGCGTTTTAGTTTTTTTTTTCGTTACTCAAACATCAATTAAACTATGAGCGTGCAATTTTTATATTTTTTTTATTACCTCGCACGAGTCCTTTCCAGCCTCTTCGAAGCCGGCGCAGACCATTCCTGGGTCTATAGCGTTTCCGTAGTATTTACTGCAGTTCTTTCTTTCGATCAAAGGTAGCTCAAGATACAACAAATTGTTGCTCGAATTACCTTTCTATTAAAAAAACACACAAGTTTATTTAGATTTCAGTTGATTAACAAAATTCTTACGTATTCTGTAGTTCCCCAACCAGACACGTTACACCTGAGATCATCTTCGAAAGTATCGTTCAATGTCCAAAGAGGAACCGATTTGACGGTACTTGAAAATTCTAAATCCTTTTCCAACTAAATATAAAGAAAAAAAAATACAATTTTATTTAAATATTTAATTACAATAATAAAATCAAATGATTATAGAATTCAATTATTCGAGAATTATTAAATTAAAATATATACAAATTAGAATTTTGGGTATCAAAAATCTTTTATATTTTTCTAATAGTTTAAAATTATTAATTTATTTTCTGAAATGCTTAAATTTCATATAAATGTTTCTTAAATTTTTTTTAAAATTGTTGCGATATAAAGTTGTAAATTAATTAAAATAATAATTAATTACACATGAAATATTAAGAAAAAAATATGTCTTTTCAAATAGATCAAAAAGTTATTCGTCGAGATTATTTTCATTTGCTAATTGTATCTGATTAAAGCATATTAAAACACTATAAAAGTTTATGATCAAGGTTTAAAATTTGCTTTTGTTAGAAAATTTTTGTCAAAATATGGGCATACGTAATTATACTTTATAAAATATTGTAACATATTGTAAAACTCATTAAAATTGTTATTGTTTGTATGGTAATCACCATACCACTTACTATACGTTTTTACAGGCTTTATTTTTTGTGAACGAATTCATTATTATTATTATTTTTTACATATATAAAAGAAATACTTGTTCACTAAACTTTATGGAAATTCTGCTCTTTAATCTATTGAATTTTTATATAATTGTATTCAAACCCAAAGTTTTTATCTCATAAAATATCAAATGTTTCAAGATAAGACAATACTTGTAAATTTATATAATAAAAGCTAATGTAATAATTAATAATAATTTGTGTGATTTAATTGTTAAGCAGCTATAATGATTACTAATAAATTGCTGTTTGCATCTCTTCGAATCAATTGAATTTCTTCTCCTTTTTTTTATATATACATGTGTAATTGTATTAATAGCATCGACAAACAGCGTTCAATGAAGAACAACAACTCGTAAATCTTTCTAAATAAATCACATTGATTAGGAGGATGCGTTACCGCGTGAACTTTGTGGACAAGTTTATCTGTCCGACCGAGCATTATGCAACCTCAATCAGCATATCGGATACGCACGCTGCATACACCACAAAAGCGACCATTGTTTCCCTACCGAAATTACATTTATCATCAAAAACTTATGCAACCCGTCTATCATTGATAACAGAGCTATATAGATACGCACCTTTAGAATGCAAATGTCGTTGAGCAACAGCCTGTCTTCGAAATGCTCGTGGATTGTCGCATTGGTTACGCGTACACTGACCGTGTTATTACTTATTGAACGGACATTTAAATCTCCGACGAAGACCTCTAGGTACTTCAAAGTGGGAAGATTGTAGACGCAGTGGGCAGCTGTAAGAACGTTGCGACTATCCAGGATGACGCCTCCGCAAAAGTGCATTTTGCTGAACCTCAAAGAGACCTAAAGATGATTCTTCAAATGAATGTGTATAAAGAATTGATGAGATAGAATACCTGATACGCGAAATCCTCGCGATTTTGCACCTGCCTTCCTCCGACTATCCTAGGTTCAAAGCAGTTCACTCCAACGAGGACGCAACAAACTATCAAAACGAAACAATTATTTAAAGATCAAAAGTTGATGAAGTCAATACTTACGGAGTAGAAGATGTGTCAAGGCTTGCATTTCGATGATGAGATCAGTGGCAACTATACTACATCAAATGTGATGGAATTCACATTGCATTTAACATTAGCACAATATATGTGATGCGAACATATGTAAATAAAAAGTGTAACAAGAAGATGATAAGATAACGCATTGAATTGCCCCATTCAATTATGGATTGTATTGTAATTATTGTTAAGCGTCGGGATTAACTGATTATGAACATTGATGACATGGAAGTTGCGGAAATTATATTAATATTGTTGTCGTTGGGGAAATTATTTGCAGTTACGTGAGGATGGAAAGGAAACTGCTGTACGGTTCCTGCTGATGAATATCCATGATAAGATAACGCGATTACATTAGACATTGAGACTGAACGAAATGTTTAGAATAAATAAGACAATGTATACTCATTTCAATGTTACACGGTTGGCAAGGTGATCGTAATCATTTAAACTTGAATTCTACGAGAAACATGTATAAATAAACGTTAACTGTCCTTCGTCATTTGATGAAAACATCAAAGCTTTGGTGGAGAATTATTTTTTTCAACATTCCAATTCTAGTAAAACGTAATATTTTATGGGTATTAAGAAAAGGTTTTGTAACATTTTCTTATTGAAATCAGTTATTTAGATATGTATAGTCTTTAAATAAAATTGATATAAATGTGTAATTTTTTTTATCGGTGAATGAAGACGTGCACTGAGAAGATTTTATTGTTAATCTTATAGTTAAAAGACTTTATTAAAAAATAATAAGTTATTAAATAAAATATTCATTCATAATTGGCATCCATCTTTTGTTATTTAAACAAATCAAGCATGTCAACGTCAAAATCTGACTAAATTTTCGCATTTATGTAGTTTTAATAATATAAGATTTAAAGGAAAAGCTTTCTTCATTGCAAGAAGTAATATTAATAATTTAAGTTACAATTCCATAATAAATCTTACTTGTGCCATGATTTATATGATTATGCTGTGAGTTCAAAAGAATCGCAATAACTGTCACCATTGGTTACCAACGTTAAATAATATGGTGTAACCATGGTAAAATAAAATATCGAATTACTTACAAAAAAAAATATGGATTTACACATATGTTGTAAACTTTTATTCTTAAATATCTGTACATTTGAGAATAAATTAATCATCTCTTACTTTTTTTTTTGAAATCTTAAATATACTTAAATAAAAAATTGCAGTTTCTTTTGAAATGTTGAATTTTATTTCTTCAATCAATAAAATTCAATAAAATAAAGTTGTTCCACTTTTCAGAAGTGTATTAGCCCTACCCACGATTTCGCCGGTTAGCCGCCGGTTCGAATCCTGGTCAAGCCAGGCCCTTTGTGAGCACTCTCGGTGCTTGCAGCATATGGACCTTGATAGTGACAGTGTTAAGGATATCAGCAGATGCACAGTATCAATATACTACTGAAGTTAACCTGCAAGACGACAGCCAAATAACAAGTTAAAAATCAAATCATCATAATGGTAACTATCCATCGGGAAAGACTCAATATTCACAATGATGAACAGATTGTGAATGAAATTATATAACATAAAAAAAATAATCAAGAAAATATGTTGCTGTGGAAAGGGATTTTCAGTTTTGTGATTAAAAATTTGTTCCAGAATAACAAAGAAATATCGGATATCATTTGAATATTAGAATTCTATCCATCGTAAAAATTAAATAAAAACAAAAAGTTTGAATTTGAAATGTTCAGTACTAATTCTAGAAATAAATTAAATTAATATTAAATTTGATGTCAAAACTTGCTAGTAAATAGAAAATTGTTATGATTGAACAAAAATAATAACTAACTGAAAAAAATAAAAATATAATCTACATTGTTTTTAAATAAATCCAATTGTTTCTATTCACTAAATATTTGTATTCTCAGTTAATTAAGAAAAGATTTTGTATTTTAACTAAAAATTGATACAGACAAAATTTTCAATCTGTGCATTTTAATCAAATTTGCTTGTGTATAGAAACAAATATGAATGTATTTAATGAATTGAGTGTCGAAAAAGTTTTTAAACGAATCAAATTGTTTCCATTTTTATAAGAATTTTCATTTAATAAAAAAAGAAAATTAATAAACATTTTCAGTTTTTTTTTTGTGAAAAGAGTGGAATGAATATGAAAATAATAACATTTTAAAAATTCTCTCTTTATTATATTGACAATATCACAGCATTTTTGTTTACAACTTTAACAAGACAATTTTTGGATAAAATTTGATTACATGAATATAAACTAAAAAAAATAAGAAGTGAATTGATTAATCGTATGTTAGTTAAAAAATCAAAATTATCCTAAAAAATAGCGAATGAGTGAATACACTGAACTCATTATTAGAAGAGCTATGGAAAAACTGATATTTCTCGCAGTCCCGTTTATCGTTCTCGGTTTGGAAGTGGCGATGATTCGGTTAGCTTCTGGCAAGAGTGTGGTAATGATTGTTGTAACAGTGGAGTCAATTACAGTCGTTTCTTCGGTGTCTGAAACTATGGTCTTTCCTCCGTATTCAGAATTATCCTTAATCCATGGGATCAAGTTGGAGACGTCCGCGTAGATTCCCGGAAAATTCGGATTGGCGCATCCGTCTCCGGTTGAGACAACGCCGGTCAACAAACCGTTGCACAAGAGCGGACCTCCTGAGTCTCCCTGCAATGAAAACGTTTAAGTAAATAAAATATTATCTCGATATATTATCGATCCTTATCGATAATTCTTTTATTTGATGAACAATAGAGTGATCTAAATTTATACAAACTTGGCACGCGTCACGTTCTCCGGTTTTGTCACCGGCACACATCATGCTTTCCTTGATGGTGTCTCCACCATACAATTCATTGCACTTCTTTTTATTGACGATATCGACGTTGGCTGCCAGCAGGATTTCGCTCACGTTTTCCGAAGTCTACGAAATTTGTTAGAAATCATCGATTAAGAAGTCCACAGATTCTTATTCTTACGTGCTTCTCGACGCCCCAGCCGCTCACTACGCAAGTACCATGATCAAGATGATCCTCTCTTAAAGGTATGGTCGCTATTAAAGGATTTTCTTCAGTGGGAAAAGGTTCACTCAACTTCAATGTATACATTTAAATATTAATTAACAAAGAATAATATGAGAATTACTGCACTTACCTCGATGATGGCTACATCGTTGGTCATCAACTTCTTGTCGAAACCAGGGTGAACTGTGATGACAGAGGCGTTACGGTAGACACTTTTCTCTGTCATCGTCAAATTCAGTTGTCCCGCCACAACGCTAACAACGAACGGCGGCAAAATTCCGCCCCAAATGTAATACATGCAATGTGCAGCAGTTAAAACGTGCGACGGATCGATCAAAGAACCTCCGCAGAAATGATTATCATTGTAAGATCTCCTCAAGGACACCTGAGCCACGAAAATAGGTTAATCCGTATCAATAAATTATAAATATGTTAACTCACCTGAAACGGAAATTCCCCTTCGGACGCAGGTCGACCTCCGACGATCCGATTCTCCGTGCCATCAACTGAAACATCCAAATTACTTCATCGTCTCCACAACTTACAGCTTACAACTATTGATTGACTTTACCAATTTGCAGAGAGAACGTTACTATCAAGATTGGTATTATGCGAAACATCGTGTTCATATGACCGTTTATGTTCATTTGATGATCAGGCGTAAAGGATTCCGTCTTAAAGGCTTTCTATTATCTGCAATCTCTTATCAGTTGGCGATCATTGTCAGGTTGATACAACTTTATATTATTGTTATTCTCGGGCCATTATTTCCCTGAAACGAAACGAGGTTCGAGACGGTGCATCTCCTGTTTATCAATAAAATCGAAATTTCGATTGTTCGTGCTCACCCAGTCTCAATTGTTCAACTATTATTAGAACTTATTATCAATTAAACTTAACGATTAACTGTGTATATTTATACTTTACTATGAAATCGAACATTGCAAACCCATTTTTTTTTAAATGACATTGACATTGATTGTTATTGATAATTTCACTGCAATTAAATATAAAAATAATTTGTTAAAAAAACATATTCTTTCTTGAATTGCAAAGTACAATTTGTAATTTTCTTCACAAAAACAAGTTATTATATAATATTTCTATGTTTCACGCTCTTAGAAGTAATAAGCTGAAGTGGTGGCTTTAGAGCAAGAATATTACTAAAATTAATACGAAATTCGTTCTTAAATTTTCACTAAATTTACCAAATATACAAAAGTAAAGTGAAATTTAATAAATATGTATGAAATAATAGATTATTAATTAGAAACGTAAACAATATGTTACAGCATATGTTTAAAGTATCAATTTAAGTGCCTGGTTAAGTATACTGCACTTAATACTCACATAATATCTGGAACAGATAAAGTACTCAAATTTTCAAAATACGTTACTTTTGTTATACTCTCATATTAATAATTACAATTATTAACTTGAGAGTATCGACAACACGAAATAACCATTATAAATATGTTGCGCAATATTTAATAAAGTATGATTCATTAAGCTTAACAAATACTCAAGTGCAGTTATGATTACAATTTCGTCGATTCATAAATCTAAGTTGAACATGAAATTCTAATTGTGTTTAGTGTTTGTTAGGATTTATATCGTATGGATATAAAAATTATGTTAGTGATATATTAAGAATTATCATATTATCAATTGTTTCTGAGAATTTGTATTTATTTTTTTCTATTAATAATTTCTCTTTGATTCTTGCAATAATTACATATATCGATAGAGTAAGTTTTCTTTTTGAATTTATATCTATTTAATATCTACTGAAAAGATAATCATCTAGATATCTAGATTATGTGAGTGGTATTAAAAGTTATCGTAACATCGATTGTTTTTTTTATTGTAACAACTGAGAACTAAATTTAGATCAATTAATCTGACGTAAAATTATTAATAGAATACTAAAGTATTGAGAGTATTATTGTTTTATTAATAGTTTTATATTTTTTTGATAACAAAAATATTATGAACATAAAAGGTGCCTTTCTTTTTATCGTGTAGATGTTAATTGATCTTCAAATAAGCTGAATCTGTTAGTTTAAACAGTTTTCTGTAGTAATATTAAGTGGATGAAAGGAAATATGTAAATGTAAAATTACTTCTAACAAATATGTATGAAGTAGTTTTTGAATTTGAACGAATCGGTGTTTGCTGCATGTTATAATTTTGAACTAAAGGCGGGAAAAGGCGTCGTTCGTAGTTGTCCGTGTCCGGGCGCGATTTGAATCGATTTTGCAGGAATGCGCGTATAACGTAATGTTTGTTGCAGGCAGCGGCGATAAAGCGCTTTTAACAAAAACACTTTCCAAAATTAAATCATTCCATTTCCACGTACAAACGAAACCAAGAGGTGCTTTCGAACAATTCCAGCACGAAATGCGACCGGCGTACAACGATCGCAAAAGTCGACCTACTTTCCTGTAATCGGATTATATCACGGTCGGAATATACAACAGAATACAGGATGCTTCGGGATCTGCTGGAAGCACTTGTGGTGGTGTCGGAGAAGGCGGCCAACATCGCGAGAATATGTCGCCAGGACGACCATCTCTTCGGTTTATTGGTGCAAGAGAAGGAGGCGGACCAATCCAATCCGAGATTCGTGCAGGACTTCAAGACGCTGGCGGATGTCCTGATCCAGGAGACGGTGAAACACGACATAGGAAACGCTGTGAGTATACAAGTATAGATTAATGGAAAATGGCTCATATTTGTTTTATTTAGTTTCCGGTGTTGCGTGATAAGATTCACGGGGAGGAGGATAACGTGTTTTGCAATACTTTAGGAGAGGAAATCCGAGTGGAAATTCAAACATCTTCAGAGGCTACGGCCGAGTTATTGGAAAAAGTGTTGGATGGAGATGGAGCTGCCGCTCGGCTCTTGGCTAATGAAGTCCATCGTGAGATTAGCGCGTCAGGAATTCCCGAAATTCCATCGGGAATTCCCGCGGGAAACGTTGGAATCTGGATAGACCCCATAGGTATGCACCCATTGGTAATGTAATCGTCTAATTAACCTATCCGGTTAATGAAACTTCAGATTCTACTGCCGAGTACATAGGTGCGAAAGAAACGCGCACCGATTGCGGCGTCTCCGTTTCCGGGCTCTCGTGCGTCACCGTGCTTATCGGAGTCTACCAAATAGAAACCGGTCTGCCGATTCTGGGAATCGTCAATCAACCGTTCTCCGAGCTCGCCGAGGATAACAGGCGAGTACATAACAATCCTGCAGCTAGCTGTACAGGTTTTGAACGTTGCTTTAACAGATGGCGCGGCAGGTGCCACTGGGGAGTATCTTTGGATGATTTGAAGTTGTGCTCCGCGCAACCCACCCACCATCGAGGAAGCAAATTGGTCTGCTTGAGCTCCAGCGAGGATGCTGCGATTAAAGAGAAACTGGAGTCGAAGGGCTTCCGGCTAATCGAGGCGGCGGGCGCCGGTTACAAGATTTTGTGTACAATTACCGGATCCGCTGACGCCTACGTCTTGTCGAAGGGCTCCACTTACAAGTGGGACACATGCGGACCTCAGGCTGTACTTAAGAGTCTCGGTGGAGATGTGGTGCAGTACTCGCAAGCGCTCGAAGATAACTTAATTAGCGTCAATTATCCGACTGATTATGAAAATAAGCTGGAGAGCTGCTGCAACAGGAGCGGCCTTATCGCCTACCGCGATCCCAGCATCCTCCAGGACATCTACGATGCACTGAAAGCCTGAATTACTTAATGAACCTTAATAAAGATAATATAGAAAGCCTCAATCGTAATTCCTCTTCTTCCATAACACCATCCGGCATCCCTCTACATCAAATCGCGGAATGGTCGTAAAAATTAATCTGTTTTCTTTTCCAGAGCGAAAAATATTTACGACTCTCTGTCGATGATGAACGTTTATGGTCGAAGTAAGTTTTGAAAATTGCTTGTTGTGCAAAGAACAGAACCTCCGTCGAGAACCCGCGAGACTCTCCTTCTGTTGGCGATAACTTTAATGGCGAAAATAAAATCGCGCCGTTTCGATATCGGAAATTTCCGGTGCAGAAACTAATGAAAAATTATAATCGGTCAATTTGTAATCATTCTGGTGGATTTAATAATAACTGATATATTTATATGTTTTTATATAAAACTACTATAAAATAATTGTTGCTGTGACCTACAACTATCATTTGAATTCAACTATTTTGTTATATGTCAACTATGAAATATTTAAATTATTAATAAAATTTATAAATTCTGATTATTTTGTTTATTTTCATTACATGGGAAATCTAAATATGAATTAATTTAATGTTGAAAATTCTTTTAATTTAATTTTAAATTAATTAAAATATTTAAAGTAAATTAATATTTATTTTAAATTTTGTTAAAACACATTTTAATTAAATTAATACACAGTTTGATAAATAATTAGTTTTTATAATATAAAGTTATACTTAGGTTATTACAAAAAAAAAAAGGTAATTAATTGAAATTTAACCAATGTGTTAATAGGATATGGGAACATTCATTCATAAACGGAATACACTTGAAAAATACTATTTACTATGAGCCTGTAGGAATGCAGCAAAAAATTGCAGACGCATCGTTTCTCGGAAGTCTGCACAAAAACTATGAATAAAACCAAACAAACAAAGAATGAAATGTTGTAAAAGGTGTGTAAACATTAGGTCTAGACGTTGACTAGTCTAGATTAGAAGTAACAACAACAAAAAACTGCATATTTTATGTTTTCGTAAATTTTGTTCATATTTCATTTATTACACGGGAATGGTAATAGCTACTGATTTAGTAGGAAGGTCATAGTTTACATTTAATGTAAAATTAACTGAGCAACGTGTGTAGTTATCAAGTAATTCATTAAAATATAATAACGTGGAAAATAATTGAAAACCGCCGTATCTTAGAAAGTAATTAATATTAGTTAACAGTAATTATATCATAATATACGCTATAGAATACCCGTACTTATGTAACTATGAAATATGTAAAAAGTTCTATAATTTTCGAGGTCTCAAACATATTTTCTAAAAAAAACATGTCAATAGTTGTTCGATGATAATTTATTAAAAAATATTCCACTAATTGAACCATAAATACTTTGAACATCATTATTAACAGCTATAATGGTGACCAACTGCAATTCTGATGAAAAGCAATTTCGAATTTAGTGGTAATGAAAACTTTTGCAAACGGGAATGGAGGTAGCGTAGTGATTTAATTAAAGCCAACAACGACAACAACAAAAACCAAAAAAGTAGAATTGTCGAACGCGTATTTAAAATACATATATTATTTATTAATTGACGTGGGCCGCAGCAATTTCGCCCTCTACTCCCACGCTAATGTCACTTTTTAATTGTTTCCAGTTTAAAATCCGAACCGAACGCGGAGATTTAATGAACGCCCCAGCAAAATTTTGCAAACCCCCTCTCCCCTCCAAAACCACATGCAAATGATTATTATTAATTAATAAATACAAAACGGAAAAAAAATGTTTAAATCGCATGCGAAACTCGATTCCATAAATAATTGCTGCACTTGCAGCAGTAAATATTTTGCAAAGATGTACTTGTTCCCTCGCATTTTACAATATTCAGTGGATTTTGTAGGGATGGATGTGTTTGCGCTTTGGGAGCTTAAATAAAATAAAATTTTATGTTTTCCAAATGGTGCGTTAAAGTTACGGGTCACATAATCCTTCATATTTCATAAAGCTCGAAAACATAGGCATAGAAGGATGAAGGAGAAAAATTAATATGAAATAAAAAAAAAAAACAGGAAGCGGAACTAAAACATATTATAAATAAAGAGCGTTTCAGCGAAACTTTTAGGCTCTCTCTACAGTTTTCGGTGCGCTCCGTGTGTTTTTGTAAATAATCAACTTTCTAATCTGGTTACGAAGTGCAACGAAATGTGATTACAACAAAGCCTTCTACCACTGTCCCTGTCTCCGGCGTTCTCCCCCGTCTCCTCCCTCGGTTTTGAAATTAATTAATCGGGAAGTTTGTTTACTCTACTCTACTCCACTCCTCTCCTTCTCTCTCTCATACGAATATACCGCATCGCTCCGACCATGTGTATAGAAAATATTTTAGGTTTCTGAAGAAAGTTTCGGCGTTAATTACTGATGTCATCCAAGATAAGTGCCTCAGTGTGGAGGATTTTATTTCCCCAGGGAAGTCCGCATTTCCTGTCTCTCTCTCTCTCTGTCTCTCCCGTACACGTGCTTTTCCTCTCGACCTGTCCACCTATGCACAAAGCTCCGATTTAGGTATGAAAAGGGGAGACAGGAGTTTCCAAAGGCCGGAGATTAAAAACGGTCATTATTTATTAATCCTCATGTTTTCATTAAACGGATTGCACCAAAAGTCCGGATTAAAGCTCACGTTAATACTGCATAACGATTCGTACACATTACACTACATGTTTCTGTTTGTGATACTTAAATATTTTAAATATTTCAAGGCCTACTGACAGATTGGTCCTGTCATTCGTTCGTCTGCTACAAACTGTCAAAAATGTCAACGCCGAAAGTACACCATTTAATAATACTTGAATCAATTAATACGTCATAATTTAACAAATTGTTGATGTCATTCGTTCGTCTGCTACTAGCTGCAAAAATGTCAACTCTGAAAGTGCACCATATAACAATAGTTAAAACAATTAACCCTTTCCAGCTCAGTGATTCCAAATTGAATTATTAATTTTAAATTCAATGTTGTCTTTCGACGATTCAAACTGTTGGCAGCAACTAATGTGAATTGAAGTTAGATGTATTTTTAACAGTACGTAATGCTGAATAATGAAAAAATCAGGATGTTTTTTTATGATTAAATAAGTGCTTTTATAAAAATTGAAAAAAAAAATTGAAAAAAAAATTGGACTGGAAAGGGTTAATACATCATAATTTAAAAGATTGGTGCTGTCATTCTTTTGTTTGCTATAAGCTGTCAAAAATGTCAAAGTCGAAAGTGCATACAATACAATAACACTTAAATTAATTAATACATCAAAATTTGAAAGTCTACTGACATAATAGTGCTGTCATTCGTTAATCTGCTACGAGCTGTCAAAAATGTCAACGCTGAAAGTGCATTATATAAATATTAAATTAGGTTTATCCGTTGACGTGACATTGATAATAGCTAATTAGTAAGTAATTAACTAATGAAGTATTTTGTACTCGAATAATTATGATTAAGCCCTGACAAGGAATTTGTGCAACAATTATAAAACACTACAAAAGCAATTGGATTTCGATCAAAACGCAGTTAAAATCTCTCTATTTGTTTCATACTAAACAATACTATAACAATAAAAAAAATAAATGAAATTCCAATTTGATAAAGCCATTGTTTGTCTTTTTGCACAACTAAACAATCGATATGTTAAGAGTTTACTGTAATAGCATTCGACCCTTTTATTGAAATGGGAATGAGAGGAATAACAGCAACAACAAAAAAAGGAATGCACACACACACACACATAATTTAATCAAAAGGTGAATTGATTTCCCTAGTCGGATTGTAAATTCACCTACAAAAAAAACGAAATTAATTAATTATCCGAAATTCGTCTTCTCTATATATTCGCATTTTTTTTTCTTGTTGTTCATTTTCGGAGCGTTTTGTAATTGATTTACTAAGGGCAGAAACAATAACAAAAAAAAAGTATATGTGGAAAAAAACAGTAAAGGTGGATCGAGAAGCAGGGCTGCAGCAAAACTAATTAGTTGCCTTTTCATCCAGCACTTTTTTTTATAAATTCTATTCCCGGTCGCGGCAAAGCGCAGGAAGGGAAAGACTAATCCCGTTTTCAGCGTTGCGATAAACCAGATTAAATTGCAGTTTAAATGCATTCATTTGGGATTAGGATTTTTTCTTAGTTAGTGCACGTATTTCGAATTCACAATTAAACTATTTGCTTTCCACCATCGTTCGTTCTCATTTCATAAACAGCTTTTTTCAGTTTTCATAAGCGTGGTTTAGCTAATTCTGTTTTAAGACCGTAATTTCAGTAATCTTGGCTAACTATTTTCTTTCTTGTTTGCAATAGGTGTAAAGTTTGCGTAATAGTTACAGTTTATTGATAATTGAAAAGCAAATTAATTAAAAAATCATTTAATATCAAATTTAAATAAATCAAAATTTCTCAACCTATGGGTCGCTTTTTATTTCTAATGGGTCGCTGATCATGACAGCTGTCTAATTCCTTCAAAGTGTCAAAGTGTTACAAAATGCTTTTAATATTGTTTATTTTCAGATTTTTTAATGGGTCGTGGAATGGCAACAGTCAAAGTGATAAAAAAATATGTTATAAAAAATTTGGTATCTTTTCTTTAGTTATACAAGTAACTAGGTTTTAATTTGCTTTTAATAGTGGTTATTTTCAACTGTCTCCTATTCTAAACCAGCGTTTCTAAACCTGTGGGTACCATATTACTTTTAATGGGTCGCAAAATGATAGGTGTCAAATTTTGCCAAAGTGTCAAAAATAAATTATGTTATATACAATTAGGTAAGTAACAAGTAAGTAGGTTAAAATTTGGTAATTGGAGAAAATCTCGATCAGAGTAATTATGCAGGATTTGATAATTTAATCTGATGATCGTCGGTTTGAGTTTGGAGCCAAGTTTGGAATGGCGGTTTGCGCAATATCAAAGATAATTGTTAATATAAGCCGCGTCTTCTCGTAAGCAACTTTGGCTTAAGTAAAACCGATCGGCACTGTTTAGGTACACACACAGTGGATGCAGGAT